TTCCCTTGACTCAAGATGACCATGGGGCTCAGGAGGTTGGCGGCTGGGATTTCTGTTGAGAGGGCATTAGAGATTCTATGTCCCAGTCACACTGATGGAAGCCCTGTTTCTCTTGGACATCTGAGCCTGTAGATTTTTCCTCTGCTCATCTCGTGGATCAGAATTTGTTTTTGGTGTACACTTAAAATATTCGGGTCAGCTAATAAAATAATAAGAATCAAAGGCTTATCAACTCATAAAATATTGTCTTTAAGGCTTATCTGACACTGTTGAGCCCTCTGTATTTGTGGGGCCACAAGTGTATACATTCTCCCAGGTAGGTCTGTGAATGATGGACTCTAATTTTAGTTCTTATAACGTGTGTGTGTGTGTGTGTGTGTGTGTGTGTGTGAGAGAGAGAGAGAGAGAGAGAGAACTAAAAACATAATGTACATCTGAAAAGTCACCAAAGGCAAGAAAAAAAAAGTAGGCATATATTTAGCTAAGTGTTCTGTGGATTTTTTTTTTTTTCCTTTTGAAAAACTCCAGTACAAGTGTTCAAGCCAAGTAGAAGCCTTTTGCTCCAGTTATTTATTTATTTTGCTCTCTCCTTTGGAAAGCGATGCACATGTATTATGAAAAGCAAATATTATACTCTTTATTGTCAAACAAAGTTTATAAGGTTCGTGTGTCAATGATGGGGCCAAGGACCTCACACAGAAAGTTTCCTGTCCTGGAAGAATTTCTCATGGAAGATAAAATATGGGAAGTGGGGGAAATGCTGACTGCCAGCGAATAGAATCCGCCCACTCCTAATGGCACCCGTGGGGTTGGATGAGCTCAGGCCTTGACTGTCCTAGCCGGAGCGGGGGTGGGGGTGATGGGGGTTCTTCCCTATAGACTAGCATGGGCCACTCAGTGAGGGGAAGGACCACAGTGGAAGTTGAAGGGTGTTTACTTAGAGGAGGCTACTTGCGTCCAACTCCTTGCAGCTCTAACATCCAGATGTATGCGGCAACCAGGCCTTTGGACACAGGAAGTAGAAGCAAGGTGATGAAAAATGAAAGGCATTCTTTGGCCTTGGAGCACACAGGCATGGAATCCAGTAGGAGTACAGTTACTATTTACAGGAAACTGGCACGGAGATATAACTTTTGCTAGACAGGTTGGTGCCATTGTGTTCTGGCACCATGAAAAGCATTAAATAAGGTTTAGCATTTGTCTAAACCATGCTGTATGCACTCTACTTTCTGATATGTATTGCTTTCTCCAACCGGGAGTTTCACTAAAGTCCCTCCCTGGGGAGTAGAGAGCGGGAGTTATAGTCAACCATGGTTAATTTGTGCTTTGTGCTTTGTTTATCCAAACCATATGTCTAGATGGTTGTAATTCTGTGTCATTGGCTGTGTAATGCTCTCTGTGCTAAGATATCTGTAAATAGCAACAGCTCAATGCATAATCACGTTGGTATTCTGAAGGGGGGAAAAGGAAGTTTCAAGTGACGTTTGCTGTGAAGACAACCACTCCAATGATGTCTCCATCCATGTCTCCCAGGACATAATCTCTTATGTATTAATCATGCAGATCTCTGTGGATGGGACAGGACCTCACAGAAGCCAGACATGGTGGGTCAATGCTACCTCCAATTCTAACACTCTAGCCTTAGGGCTGGAGGACACTCCAGATCGTAAATCATATCATTGCTATTCAGCAGCCCCAGTAAGTAGTTTGAGTACCAAAGAGAAATCCTTTTATGTTGATGCTAGAAAAAATTAAAAACAGTAAAGCAAGGGGAATCCACCAAAATTTTCTTTTATAATATTTTCATTTAAAAACTTTGATTCACCAGCTTTCTATCAAGAGAAAACATTGGGCTCAAGGGCGGGAGGTGATAAAGTCCAATGTGAATTTCTTAAATGGCAAATTACCAGTTAGGATGAACACACAAAGGCTTCAGCTTTTATGTACAGCCTAAAAGCCCCAGGGCCCCTGCTCCCCCTGAGCACCCAGGAGCAGCTTCTGAACACTGCAGTGTGCTGGCTGGAGGTCTCTGGGGAAGAGGAGGCCATATCTGTGAGTTATGGTAAGTTCTACCGCACCCTGACTTCAGCAACCTCCTAAATCAGAAAAGGGGGTGTTAAAAAAATGTTTTTCCTTCATGCAAATGCTGCCATTCATTTAGAAGTGAGGCCATGTTACTTCAGGTGCCCATAGAGCATGATCATTTGAGCATCCTGAATTGCATTATAGGGAGCCTGGCCCCAGAGTCAGCCTCAGACCATGGAGATGTGACAATCTCTTTGAAGTCCTGGGGAATGAAAGGAGTGGTCTGCAAACAAGCCTAGGAGGGTGAGCTGAATATATTTCCCCAGCCTTGCCAGAGACACTGCAGTCCATAGCTGGCTCACATTGTCACACATATCTCACCCCGTCACACTGCCCAACAGTCTTGGTGCATTTTGTTCACCAGCCCTTTTGCCACAGCAATATGTTCAACCCATCTTATGGCCTCAAACTCCAATCTTGGCATACAGCCTTGTCTTGCACTTTATGGAAAAATGAGAAGCCATCATATAAGAACAGGAGCATCTCTTTCTTGCATGACAGAATCTATCAGCCCATCTGCGCTTCCCCATCCTCCCCCACCTTCCTCCAGTTACAAAGGTGAAGTTCGCCCTTCTCCTTCCTAAGGGGCCTTTCCCGTCCTGCCTTCTGAGGGTTTCCATCAACAGATACTATTCCTTTGCCTACAATTTCCACTAGTCTCCCATTCTTAAAATTCATTTCCTTTGCTCTCACTCGTTTTCCTACTGCTGTTGCCTTATCTCCTTACCCTTCCCAATCTGGCTTAAAAGCAGTGTGTCAGCTGGGCAAGGCGGCTCACGCCTGTAATCCCAGCACTTTGGGAAGCTGAGGCAGGCGGATGGCTTGAGGTCAGGTGTTCGAGACCAGCCTGGCTAACAGGGTGAAACTCCATCTTCACTAAAAATACAAAAATGAGCAGGGTGTGTTAATGGGCTCCTGTAATCCCGGCTACTTGGGAAGCTGAGGCAGGAGAATCGCTGGAACCCGGGAGGCGGAGGTTGCAGTGAGCCAACATCATGCCATTGCACTTCACCTCGGCAACAGAGCAAGACTCCATCTTTAAAAAAAAAAAAAAAAAAGCAATGTGTCCGTATGATGCTGCCCCCAATTCCTCACCTCCTTTCAATCTTCAACCCGCTCTTTCAACTCCTTCAATTCCACTTCTTTCCATACCATTTGATATGGTTTGGCTGTGTCCACACCCAAATCTCATCTTGAATTGTCACTCCCATAATTCCCACGTGTTGTGGGAGGGACCCAGTGGGAGATAACTGAGTCATAAGGGTGGTTTCCCCCACACTATTCTCATGGTAGTGAATAAGTCTCACAAGATCTGATTGTTTCATAAGGGGTTTCCTCTTTTGCTTCGTTGTCATTTTCTCTTTGCCTGCCACCATGTAAGATGTGCCCTTTGCCTTTTGCCATGATTGTGAGGCCTCCCCAGCCACGTGGAACTGTGAATCCATTAAACTTCTTTTAATTGGTAAATTACCCAGTCTCAGGTATGTCCTTATCAGCAGCGTGAAAATGGACTAATACACCATTCCATCAGAACTTCCCTGCTAACCGCTCTAAATCCTGTATTCCATGCTTGCCTTCCATCTGAGCACCAAGCACTAGTCAACATCTCTAGTTGAACACCCTGTGGGTAAGGTGACCATATGTCTTCATTTGCTCTGGGAAGTCTCTATTTACATGTGGTGTCCTGGCATAAGTAGTCACAGCACCCCTTTCAGACTCAAAAACATCTTAGACAATAAATTTTAAGGTCACATATATTAGCAGATACAGGCATCTGTGATTTGTCTGTCCAATCTATTTATTTCCTTATTTTTATTTTATCTTTTGCTTTTAGAGAACTATCCCTTGCAGATACCTTTTCTTTTCTCTTTTTTCTTTTCTTTCTTTATTTATTTTTATTTTTATTTTTATTTTTGAGATGGAGTTTCTCTTTGTCACCCAGGCTGGAGTGCAGTGGTGCCATCTTGGCTTACTGCAACCTCAGCCTTCCAGGTTCAAGCGATTCTTGTGCCTCAGCCTCTCAAGTAGCTGGGACTACAGGTGTGTGCCACCATGCCTGGATAACTTTTTGTATTTTTAGTAGATACGGGGTTTCACTATGCTGTCCAGGCTGATTTCAAACTCCTCACCTCAAGCCACCCACCCGTCTCAGCCTCCCAAACTGCTGGGATTACAGGAAGGAGCCACCGCGCCCAGCCCAGATACTTTTTCAAAGTGGTCTGGTCGTATGATAGATCTACCCAGAATCAGATTGGTATAAAGAGAGGTACTGAGTCAAAAGTGGGTCAAGATAATTCACACTCAACATATTTTGCTGACACAATTTGAGGAGGGAAAAAATCCCTATTTTCTCACTGGGATTACTATGCTGGTGGAATAGAAGCCTGAGGAGACTGGGACAACTCTGCCACCAAACTTAGGGAGAGCCTGCTAGAGGAGAAAGGCAGCACAGTGAAAGCACAGCTTGCAGCAACAGAATGGGGAAGAAAGAGAGGGTGGGAGGGAAAAAGAGAGATTCCCAGTGCCAATGTTGAACACCCAGGGCTGAAAGGCTGTTCCACCTGTGGGCTTTCTATTGCGTACCCCAAAACTTCTTTTTCACTCAGTAGAGTTGGAGGTAGGTTTCTCTCACTTAATGACAAGACACTCAGGATCTACACAAGCATGCCTTGAACTCAGTTCTTGGCAGTCCTGTCCCTACTGTCCCCAAAGCTGTTTCTACTCCACCCTTCAAATCTCAGCAACCATTCAGTTTCTTTTGCCAGAAACCTTGGAATCATCTTGGACATCTTCCCTTCTCTAGCACCATCATCAAATCTTACTGATTTATTTTTATCACCAACACATGTGTAAACTCTAGTTCCTTCCCTCCATCAGCACGGACCCCCAACAAGTCCATAAAACCATCATCTCACCTGGGCAACTCAGCAGCCTCCCACTGGGTCTTCCCATGGCCACTCTCACTCCCAGCATTCTCCATGGAACATCTAGAGTCATCTTCTTAAACTTTAAATCTGCTCATGGCGCACAAGGCCATGCTTCACTGGGGAGCTGGAAGGAGAGTAGAGGGAGCATTGCCAAGTTAAGTAAGCAGACATTATTGAAGTTCTTGTAATTCCTGAATTCACCAATAAAAATTATATTTGAGGCTGGGTGTGGTGGCTCACACCTGTAATCCCAGCACTTTGGGAGGACAAGGTGGGCAGATTGCTTGAGCCCAGGAGTTGAAGACCAGCTTGGGCAACATGGTGAAACCCTATGTCTACAAAAATTACAAAATTTAACCAGGCGTGGTGGTGCATGCCTGCAGTCCCAGCTACTCCAGAGGCTGAGGTGGGAGGATCACATGAGTCCCGGAGGTGGAGGTTATGGTGAGTTGAGATCACACCGCTGAACTCCAGCCTGGGTGATAGAGTGAGACCCTGCCTCAAAAAAATAAAAAATTATCAGAGACAATATCAGCATGGTTCCCAAGAACATGCCTCTTATTTTTCAATCTTTATTTGCTTTATTTTGTTTCAATCAGAAGCTTAGGGTCAAACTTTCTTCCTTGAGCTGGGATATTTGAACACTGAAGGTTACTAGCACTTTCCCATGGGCAGATTGCAGACAGCGGTGATCAGATTTTAAATAAAAATCTCTACCGATGCTGCCAGGATGTTAAGCAGAGCCTGCACAGAAGGATCGTACATGGGTCAGTGACTGCAGGGTCATTTGTAGACCCCGGTATTTGAAGTTTCCTATAGAACCTTCTTGGAAGTCAGTGTTCTCAAAGGAGGGGCATGCACTATCTCACCACTCTACTCTTAGATCCTAACCTCTCTCCATCTCCTCCTTCCTCAAAACAGACCTGTGGGTTCGAAATTTGATTGAAACTGAGTCCAGCAATATTGGTCCGACCTGATTAGGATACTGTCGGGACCCAGTGGTTTTAGAAGGGAGTTTTATAGAAGGAGATATGAGAAGGGTAAAATTAGAGGGGTGCATGCATGTTCCTGAAAGAGAAGACTAAACATTGTAAGGGTGCCATTGCCTCAATTTGTGTATAAGTCTATTATAAATCTAATCCAAATTTTAGTAATGTTTTCTTTGAAACCTGACAAAATGATTCAAATGTTGTCTGGAAGAATAAATGAATAAAAGAATCAAGTAAAGTTTGATCAAACAGAAAGATTAGAAACATCTGCACGGACATTAAGATAGATTCTAAAACTACGACAATTAAAATGGAATGTTATTGGACCAAGGATGGGCAGGTAGAAAGAACATTAAGAATCTATTCTGTAATAGGAGAGCTTTTTCAAGTCTCTGGGGGAAATGATGCGGGGACAACTGTGAAACACTAAAGATAAATTGATTCATCACTGCTTCACACCACATCCTAAAATAAATGTCAAGCGGATTATAAATTTAAAAATACATATACAAATGAACTAGAAGGAAATATAGGTGCATGTTTATCTGATCTTGTAATGGGAAAATCTTTTAAGTAGTGTATTACCATAAAGTAAAATATTGATGAAATTGATCACATGTAAATTCAAATATTCTGCCATGGCTATATCTAAGAGCAAATAGGAAACTGGAAAAAGAAACTTGCAATGTATGTAATAAAGGGTTTATATTCTTAAGTCTCTGAAATGTCAACGTGGATAAAAGACATGATTAGAAAATTCACAAAGGAAGTACTAACAGCAAAAATATAAAAAATGTTTAACTTTGCGAGCTGTCAAAGATGTGCAAACTGAAACAATAGTGAAACACACATTTTCAGCTATTACACTGACATTTTCTAAAAAAGAAAAGATTAGGTAGAGCCTGGGGAAATGGGCACCCACAGATTGCTAGGATGATCCTAAAGTGATACAATTGTTGCAGAGGGTAACTTGGCAAAATTCTTAAAAATATGCAGAGTTCATTTACACAGCAATTCCTCTTCTAGGAATTTATCCTCAGAAAATAGTCATAAATAACTGCAGAAATTTATTTGAAAATGTTCCCTGGAAGGTTGTTTATAAAAGCAAAAAATTAAAAACAAAATAAACATCTGAAAATATGGAGCTGCTTAAATAAATTATGGTGCATTATAATCCAAGGTCGTAAGAAAATCATACTGAGAATTATTTAGTGACTTCAGAAAAGGTTCACAATATATAGTTAAATGGGGGAAAAAGTTGCAAAACCATTGGTACAATGGAGTCTCATTTCTTTTGTTTTTAAAAAATGTATGTATGTAAATATATGCATAGAAAAAGACTTTAAGAGGATAACCAAAAAGTTATCAGTGATTATCTCTGGGTGGCAAAGGTATTGGTGATTTTCATTATTCCTCGAATATTCTGCAATAAAAATGTATTACTTTTTGTAACAAGATTCTTAAAAACATTAACTTTTATTTAAATTCTGCAAAGAAGTCAGGTATCAAAAAATGGTCTTCAGGAAGCTTTTATGGGGAAATTCTTACAGCCAAAAATTGGGGAATTGCTGGGGAAAGTGGCCAGACCTGAATGCAGCAGAGTTGGGAGAGGACCACCCACCTCTCAGGGACACAGTCCTGGAGTCAGCAGCCCCATCACTACCCCTGCTTCCCATCACTACTCCTTTTAAGACTCATGGGGTGGAAAAGCGACATGGACTAAAAATAATAATAACGAGGATGTTCACAATAACAATGCATATGATAATATATTAATAGAAAACTGACATTTATTAAGCACTTACTATTTTCCAGACCCCAAGCTAAGTGCTATACAGATAGTATCTCATTTAAAGCTCACAACAGTCCATTGAGAAAGAGATTATTGCATGGGATTCATAGAGAAAGAAAACTGAGACTCGGATGGCGGGATAGTGATGTGATTCTCCCACACTTCCAGCTCTCAGAAGGCTGAGGGGAATTACAAACATATCTGAGTCTGATGCCAAAGCCCCTGGCTGATCTACATTGATTAGGTGCTTACAGGAGCATTTTTCCAAACCCACATGCCCCGATCCCGACTTCACCACCCAGGCCTCCATTTCCTTTGTGATTCAGCCTCGCATTATGTAGCCTGACTCCACTGTGAAAGATTTGTGGCAATTGCATGATGTATGAGGTGCCATTTGTAAAAATATTATTTAGTGTAAAACATGATGTTTTTTCTCCTGATTTACAAGTTGGATTTATAAATCTGCACTTCTCACTATCTGAGTTATATATCTTGCCTCTGATTTATAAAACTTGCCTGTAAATCTTCCCAGCAAAGTTTTGATTCAGAAATCATTATTTTAAGAATTAGATTTAGTTAAAACATTCAGCTGCTTTATAGGGGAGGAAATGGATTTACATAACTCCAACCGGAGCTTACGGATCCTATAGCAGCTTCACAAGTCGTGCCTAGGAATTCCTAAGGAAAATGTTTTGATTTAAGGGCATTCACTTCACACTTTAGCTACACCTGACTGATTTATATCACCAAAGTCATACAATAATGATCCATTTTATAAAAATCCCACTTTTCTTTAATTCCAGACCCTGATTTATATGCCCTGATTGGGTCTCTGTAATGCTGTCCCAGTCACAGGCTCCTCTGTCCTAGAGCTGGTCTTGGGGAAAAGGCCTAAGAATCAGGGATGATCAGCATAAAGGGAAATGCCACCTCATTCTTGGCTTATCTCCCTTATTCCAAGGGAGCCAAAGCAGGTTGCCTCCCGCCCCTGAGCTAGAGCCAGCTAAGCCTGGGGGAGCGTCTGTAAGATGCCACAGCCTTCTCCAAGAATGTGGTGGGTTCTCTCCATCCCTGTTGCTCAAATGAAGAGGGGTTGCTCCCACGTAGAAGAAATCGCCAGTCCAGAGAATCAAGGACATGTTTGATGAGTAATTGCTGGCTGAAAAAAAAATCAATGAATAAATGAACGCTTTTTAAAGAGCAGAGGCCAACAAGCAGTGATCTGACAGATAGTATAAATGAACGAAAAGGGAGGGTGTGTGAGAGCCTGGTGAGAGGCTGGTCCAATCTGAACAGGGTGGCTGTAGCTCAGCTCCACCTGGCTGTGATTAAGTAGGATTACTTGCCCAGTATTCCCACAGGTGACTCTCCAAGACAATCCTGAAATTCAAATGCTTATTTTAAATGCCTTATTTTAAAAATCAATGTTGTACAGGTTTAGTTTAAAATAGCAAAATACATACACTTTAAATGTACAGGTCAGTGGCATTTGAACAAAGTACACACTCATGCAACCACCACCTTGATCAAGATATAGAATGTTTCCATCTTTATAGAAATCATCCTCTTGCCTCTTAAAGTCAATGACCTCCATCCCACTCCCTGCTAACCACTGGCCTCATTTCTATCTCTACAGATATGGTTTTTTTTTTCTGTTTTAATATCATTGGAACTTCATATACATTGAATCATACAGAATGCATTTGTTTCCTGTCCTGTTTCTTTCACTTAGCATGCCTGTGAGATTCATCCACGCACGTATCCAGTGTGTGTTCCTTTTTATGGCTGAGTAGTATTCCGTGGCCTAAATGTATTCTAGTTGTTGATTCATTTCCAGTTGGTGGACATTTGAGTTATTTCCAGACTTAAAACTATTATGAATAAAGCTGCTAGGAGCATTCCTGGACCGGTCTCTTTATGGACATATGTTTTCATTTCTCTTGGGTAAAAACAGAGGAATGGAGTTGCTGAGTCATTTGGTGAGTGTATGCTTAACTCCCCATAAAGCTGCCAGACAGTTTTCAAAAGTGATTTTGCCATTTTACACTCCCTCCCCTCCCCAGTCATATATGAAAGTTCCAGTTGCTCAACATCCTTAACAATGCTTGGTCTTGCCAGTCTGTTTAATTTTAGTCTTTTAGTCATTTTAGTCATAATTTTAGTCATTTAGATATAAAGCAGTATCCCATTTTATTCTGCGTTTTCCCAATAACTAATGGAATTGAGCATCATTTCATTCGCCCATTGGCCAATTGTGTATCTTCTTTTGTGAAATGCCTATTTAGAACTTCTCTTATGTATTAGTTATTTGCCTTCCACTGTTGAGTTGTAAGAGAACTTCGTAAACTCTGGATACTAGTCTTTGCCAGATATGTGCATTGCAAATACTGTCTTCCAGTCTGTGGTTGGTTATTTCTTTTTCTTGTCAACGTCTTCGGCAGGGCAAGCAATTTTAATT